GCTCCTGGCCACTACTTAGGATGTACATCCCCAGTCCCCTTGGTGAACTGAGATATATGCTTTGGGGCATGGCTACCAAGATCTGCTGTCTCACGTCCCGGCAGAGGTGGGTCCGTGCTGCAGGAGACTTACAAAGGAGGAGGAAGCACAGCTGGGTCCCTGACGCTGGGAAACAGCAGCAGGATTTGTGCTTCCATCCTGGAAATGCAATGGGAGCAGCTACTAACAGATTAGCCCCAGGGATCTCTGGTCTGGACCGGTAGTGCGGTCCATATGCAATAGCAAAGAGCAGTGTAATTCTTACTCACAGCTTCCGAGCACCAAGATTCACAGACTGAGCTCAATGAAGTGCCCCGGGGAAACAGCTTTGTCATTCATACTCTGTCATCTGTGCATCACAGGACTAGAACACTGCGATGAAGGCTCTGTACCTAGAATGAAAAAAAAAAACCACAGGTCCATCTTTGGACCCTGGGAGTAGCCCGGTCTGTTTTTATCACAATTAGACTTGGGAAACAGGTTTGAAAGCAAGAGCCATGCCATGTGGCACTGGTGCAGAAATCCAGTCTGTCTGCTCTGGCACACAAAGGCCTCTTGAATGGCGTGAGGTGTGTGGATACTGGGATTTATACCTCCAGGTACTAAGAATATTGGTGTCCCCTCCTCCTCTCTGAAGATGTACCAGTTTATTCAACATCCACACCGGGAACTGCATGCAGAGCCGAAAGAAGGGCATTTGTTACACTTGCCCTCCAAAGCAGCAGGGTCTGTGCCCAGGACACAATCCCCACTGCCAGCAGCTAACTGCAGAGTGCCCTAGACATGCTTCATCCGCTGCTTTGTTGATAAGCCACGGGGACATCCATGCTCTCAAACGTTAGTGCTCCATGCACAGTGGAGTCCAGCCCTCACTGGCTGGTGTTTCCACCTGAAACATTCCTTTGCTCTCATGGCATTCATGCTCAATCTCTGGGCTTCTCCCAGCTCCTCCACAACCATGCCTGGGTGGTGCAGGACACGCTCAGTCTCTGGCCACGATATGATTAGCAAACCAGAACGTGTTGACTGACACCGACTGACATTGCCTCATTCCTGCACTCACCTGGAGCCACCGTTGGGGTAGGGGCACCGGGAGTCACCTGCTCTTCACCATTGGCAGCAGGACCTGTGCACAACAGTGTCTCGGGTCTGAGGCTTACACACCCGATGTCCTGGCTATCACTTCCACAGCGTTATGTGTACAGGAGTAGGCCGGTGCTGGGGCTCACTCTTCCCCCTCAGCTCCAGTTACAGCCATTACCTGCTCTATAGGGCTGAAATTCAGGCTACTGGGTGTGAAAGCAATTCAGGATTTGGCTCTGTAGGATTTCTTATTCCCCAGCTTTAGACCCTGGGAATACATGGTCTGGGGTACTGTTGCTGGAGCTCACAGTCTCAGCCGAGAAGTACAGTGAGGTCTCCATTATAAGACATCCCAACAAGCGAGAAGAGAGCAGTGAGCTGGGTGACCCAGCGCTGTGCACCTACACCAGGGTACATCTCTCCCAGCAGAGCCATGGATGCTCGGAAGAGTGCTAGTGGTCACATGTGCACCCCTAAAATATCACATTCCCCTGCAGGACTGGCACTGAGGTCTACTTGCACCTGGAAAAGATCTCCACTCCTGGGGTGGCACTGTCCAGATCCACATCTCCTGCTGCAGAACAGCCTGCAGCCCCTGAAGACCAGAGCTGTAACTGGTAACGCTGTGCCACAACCAGAGCAGGCTCTTCACCCCAGAGAACTACTGTCCCATGGGGAGTCCCAGCCATGGCCCCAGGCACCTCAGGCCATCTTGAAACCACTCGGGCGGTTTGTGTGCTTGGGCACTCGCGTGCAGAGGTTTCTGACATTTGGAATTCCCTTTCCAAGGTCCAAAAGAGAGTCTGCCATCTCAGGATTGTTTTGTCAGAAGTGATCTTCTGTGGCATTGTGATCATAATCCAGATGGTCAAGATCTTGCCAGCCTCTGGCTTTGGAAGAAACTTGCTCCGTTCTGCTGCCTCTCTGCAGAGCTGCATTTTATTACTGAGTCCTCTCTAAGGCTTAGAGGTTCAGGAGCAAAGTATAAAGAAAAGCTGAGAATAGCTGCTCTTTTCTCCTCATCTTCATCTCAGGATCCCTCCAGAGACTGATCTTGCCCCGGAGGGAAGGGCAGGGCACATTAGCCGACAATTCCTTTTTTTCTGTGAACTTTGTTTAAATATTTAACAGAAGGAAACTAAAAATATCCCCAGTTAATGCAGCAGGAGCGAGACAGCTATTCGCTCTTGGGTGCCCTTCCTCTCAGCCCCTCTGTTCAGGTGTACATCAGGGGTTTGGGTTCCCTTACCCCCAGCAAGTGCTGGACTCTTCCCTCCTTCAGGAGGGGCTTTGGTTTTAGTTTGGGGCATGGGCTGAGCAGGAGGGGTTGGCAGTAACCCCTTGGGAGCTGGGAGGTGCAACACACCTGGCTCAGGGCTGGAGGGCACTGGGCAGTTGGCCTTTGCATTAACTCCCTTGGCCAAGCGACCCCATTTCTCCACCCTGGCAGCCACAGAAGGGCATGACCGTGGGTTGTCGGCATTCATGCTTTTCCCCTTCATGATGCAGGAGCGAGCTGAATATCTTGAATGATTTTTTTCTGTGTGTGCGTGCGTGCGTGCGGTCTTTGTTGCGGAGAGGATCCCGGGTTGAGCACATAATAGCTCACCAGGGAAGGTCCGGGCTGGTGATGCGCTGTGCCTGGCCAAGGGAAGGGGCAGACAGCATGAAGGGCAGCTGTGCTACTGCCAGACTGGTGCCAAAGGGAGATGGCGTGGCCGGTGCAGAGATCCAGCCAGGGGAGGACCAGCCCTTAGTCCGTGTCACCGCTGCTGCCTCATGCTGCTCGGCCATGGGAGGTGGGAGAGAAACAGGAGGAACAGGGGGGAAAGAGAGGGGTGAGACAGCACAGAAGACTCCGGGACAAGGAGTGTGGGACAGTAATTCCGTGTTAGCTAAGAGGAAAGTAAATACTAAATATTTGATAGGTGTATTTTTGCTCTTAAATTCTTTAGTAAGGCTGGACTTTTCTCGCTGATTCACTCTCTTTCTCAGTCTTCTTGGTTTATCACTCTCGTGCTTCCCCTCTCGCTCCCTCACTCTGGCACACAATGAAGAGGCTCTTCTTTAATAAATGGATTACACGCTCTACACTATAAATAAACACAGGAATTAAGATTCCAACTTGTTCCCGCGATAAGCAAACAAAGATGCTGAATCCCCCTCTCGGCCCTCAGACAGGAGAGTCCCCGGGGAAGCTGCGCATGTGCCTCCGCACGTGTGCTCCAGAGATCGCTCCTTGCTCCCGTCTGCGTATGCTAACACGCCTGTGTCTGTGCGGTGCTGGCATTGCTGGGGGGGGACACGATGCACCTCCATGCAGGACAGCGTGTGGGCATGGGGGTGTGGGTGCCGCAATGCCTGCGGTGCCTCCAGGGAGTGAGCGGTGGCCACTGGGCAAGGGGACGCTGACACCTCTCCCATTTGGTTCCCAGTGAAGAAGATGAGACGGGATCCTTGCTGAGCAGAGACGCCGTTGCATCTGCGATGGAGCCGGGTGCCTGGTAGGTCCACAGCTTCTTGTGTTCACCGGCAAGGCGGGAAGACGAGGGCAGCGTGGGCGGCAGGCTGCTGCCAGCTGCTCCGGGCTTGGCCATTCGGCAGGAGGGATGTTTCAGATACGTCTCTCTTCTTCCTCCCCCCGACCCCGCAGCAGGATGCCTCCGCCCCTCTCCTGCGTCCA